ACTTACTAAGCATCCTGTATGCTGCATTCTGTGGGAAAGTACAAAGACAGGTATATGTGAAAAAATATCCAAAGTGGGGACCCCCTTTAAAAAAAAAGGTCATTGCCGGGCGTGGTGGCTCATGCCTGTAATCCCAGCACTTTGGGAGGCTGAGGAGGGTGGATCACGAGGTCAAGAGATCGAGACCATCCTGGTCAATTTGGGGAAACCCTGTCTCTACTAAAAATGCAAAAAATTAGCTGGGCATGGTGGCGCGTGCCTGTAATCCCAGCTACTCAGGAGGCTGAGGTAGGAGAATTAATTGCCTGAACCCAGGAGGTGGAGGTTGCGGTGAGCCGAGATCGCGCTGTTGCACTCCAGCCTGGGTAAGAAGAGCAAAACTCCATCTCAAAAAAAAAAAAGAAAGAAAGGTCATTGTCAACTTCCGAGAGTTTATGTATCAATCCATCAAAACAAATGTGATGGGGTCTGCTCTGCATGGGGTGGTGTGCTGGGTGCTGCACACATCTCAAAGGGGATTGATGTAGCACCAACACTGGCTGCCAGGAGATCATGGTCATATTGGGAAGATAAAGGTTGAATATGTGAAAATAATGTTTAAAAAGAAAGCGAGAGGAAGAAATCAAAGTTAAGTATAGTCCAAAATCTGTCACAAAACTAGAAATTATCACCTAATGACTGATGCAGGTACTAAATGTTATCAGAAGGAAGAGACCACCAGGAGCCTGAGCAGGCTGCCAGGACTGCGTGGAAATGGAAGGCACTGAGCTGAAATTGGAAGCTAGAAGGCATCTTTAGGCCTGTGTTTTCAGAATCCTAGAATTTTATTTCCACCACATTCTGTTGGTCAAAGCCAGTCTCAAGACCAGCACAGATTCAAAGGCAGGGAAATAGCCTCCATTTATTGATGGGAAGAATGGTAAAGGCATACTGTAAAGAGGCATAGTCACAGGGGACTGTATGTCATTGTAGGCCATTTGTAACAACCTGGCAAAGTGGCTTCTAGAAATACCCTGTGATTCAAGTTCTCTAGTCTTAGTTCTTAATATAAAGGAGAGCTTTTATAATTTTATTCTTCTCCTGTAACTTTGTTTTCTAATCTTATCGATAACAAAATGTAACTTTATATTCTCATTCGTATCTAACATAGAAGGATAACACATATCTAGATGAATGTGATCTTTCTGGTTTGATATAAAAGCATTGTTAATTCATAACCTTTGATAATCAAGCTGCTCATCTCATGTCAAAATGTACCTGTTATTGATGTCCACGATGCTAGATGATAGCATGGAAAGGGCAAGAGCTCTAGAATCAGACTGATTTGGTTTAGATTCCAGGTTCTGCCCAATGGCTCTGTGACTCTTTCAGCTGTCATATCATAATCTGTAAAATGGGGATGTGTTAGTCCATTCTTCTGTGGCTGTCAGGAAATACCTGAGGCTGGGTAATTTATAGGGAAGAAAAGGTTTATTTTGGCTCACTGTTTTGCAGGCTCTGTAGGAAGGATGGTGTTGGCATCTGCTTCTGGTGAAGGCCTCAGGAAGCTTCCAATCATAGTGGAAGGCAAAGGTGAACCAGCATGTAACATAGTGAGAGAGGGACCAAGGTGGGGGAGGAGATGTCGGGCTTCTTTAAACCACCAGCTCTTGTGTGAACTAACAGGGAAACTACTCACTCATCACCAAAGGGGTGGTGCTAAACCGTTCATGAGGGATCCACCCCATGACCCAAACACTTCCTACCAGACCCCACCTCCAATATTGTGGATAACATTTCAACATGGGATTTGGAGAGGATGAACATCCAAACCATGTCAGGGAATAACTGTAATTCTCCTGCAAGCTGGTTACTTATTATTGTTAATTTTGTATTTCTATACTGAAAGAATTTAGCTTGAATTTAGTTTTTAAAAATGAGTACTTCCATTTAAAGCTTACACTTAGAATTTGATAGAGTACAATATATTTTGGTTTTGATCTTTTATATCAGCCTCTCAACAGCCTACACATTGAAAATTAAATTCAGTGTTACATATTCTACTCTGAGTTGACATTTCTAGACCACAATTACTTCTTTTCAGCTGTTTCTTGTAGAATGGGGCTTCTCAAGCCTAAACAGAGCTGAGTTTCTCACCAGGGTGCCCAAGTGTATGTAAGTGGGCCTCCAGCAGGAAGGAAGGGTGGGCCTCTGTGGACAGGTTGTACCACTTAGTGAGGTAGTCAGTTCCATTCAGTATTCTTTTCCACTGAGCAGATCATGATTCATTATTAAAGGCCTAATCATGAAACTGGGGTGTTATGAAAGATCTATGATCAACAATTATAAAACAATCATAATAATGGCTACTGTTTATTGAGTACTTAATATGTGCCAGGAACTATGTTAAATGCTTTCTATATATTATCTCATTTCTTTTCAGAGCAATCCTATGAGGTAGGTACTACTAATATCCCCATTTTAAAACCTGCAATGACATGTCAATTTATGAAAATAGTCTAATACACTGTGAAAAATGACAACATACAGACAGGAAAAATGAATATACCACATTCTTAACAATCAGAGAATATTAATGTTAATATTACATGAACTTCTGGAATTTAGAAAGCCTCCTTATTTCTTGCCAAGCCTAATTTTAAGACTATTGCCTAGATATCTAAAAAATAAATTCTTATTTTAGAAAGTTAGGCTGAACTCTGAACTCAGAGTAAAAGCTGGGTCCTTCCTGTTTGTATTCCTGCTTTAGCAATTCTAATCATCCCTAACTCTTGGATGAATCTGCCTGAATATCAGACAGGTTGTATACAAAGAAGGGCAAAGTATATAAGCATATGAGAACATTACTTTAAAAAACAAACAAATATTCTCCCAATGTATTGATTAGCTACTGATGGGAGAAAAATCACAAAATCTGAGCTTAAGAATGAACTTTAATTTGCATAAATGATAAGAACTTAATCTTGATCATACATTTTGGGGTCAACTGGAATTACTTTTCTTAAGCTTTGAGTCTTCAGGTAGAATGGGGGGGCTTATTTGGGGACCCAGGCTAGATATAGGGGTAATGGCTACTATGGTATGTTTTTCTCGTAATGATGACTGAAGCAAAAGGGGACAAGCTCAACAGTATAGGCACTTGTTCAGTAATATCCCAGGGGCCAAAGCAAGTTAGATATGAAACCTGAAGTTAAGGGATAGGAAAGGACACACCTACCATGAATGTCCTGGGCCCTGGAGCAAGGCAAGGGTATACATGTAAAACACTAATATGGGATAATGCAAGATTAGGACTAATAATAATTTAACCTTCCATACCCACTTCCATGTATTTATTTATTCCTCTACTCATCCATCTACTTTACAAATATAGGTGTGTGTGTGTGTGTATACACAGATGCACAGGCATATATATAGATATAAAATATACATATGGACACAAAGACACATGTGCACAGAGGATAAAACATGTAGCTATGTGTAAGAATTCTTTGTAAAACATGAAAATGAGATAGCATATGGAAGCAGGGTGATAAGCTAAAAAGGCTAGTGGCGTAGGCCTGGCATAAATTAAAAGGCCTTGGAATCTGTTACATTTATTGAAAAACACCATAAAGAGCAAGTATAAAAGCATTTCAGGGACAAGACTAACATAATTTTGATGATAACTTGGGCCTTGGAAACTTGGGAAAAGCAACAAGGGCAGAGGTGGGGGAGGAGAGTGCAGGTCACAGAATTAGGGGTAAGGTGGAGTGAATGAGAAGACATTAAAAATGCCCACAGTTCTGTGAGCCTAGGGAGCTTGAGAGAGATCATTCGTAACACTGACCAGGAGACAGAATTTGTGAAGGGTAACTTGAAGAGCGGTCTTAGCATGGTTAGGTTTCAGGTATCAGCAAACATCAAACATTTCAGGTATCAGCAAAAATCAGCAAACATTGGTTATGTTCTCCAGATAACTGAACTTTGGTGGTATGCTGAGACAGGAACACTAATTAACTTTGTTTGTGATCATGAACAAATTTCTCATGTCTCTTCCACCACTTAAATTCTATAGTCCTTTGACCTTTGTTCAGACTTGCAGTTGGAGCAATATGAACAAAATATTTGCTAAAGAAGCTTAGATAGAGAGAAAAGAACAAGACTGTATGTCCGGGAACAAACCGATGTCCTCCATATAAATGTTCTTGGTTGGCACAGGGTTATTGTTCTTGTTATTCCTTTTGAAATTCTTTTTTATTCTTCTTTTTTAAAATTTGAGACCCTATAGGCTGGATACACTTCTCTAGTCCAACCACAGACCCCACTAAACCCTCTTGTCTTAGATCTACCCACTTCACACATTTACATTAAATCTAGTCCTGGAAGACATTGAGATTTTGATCACTTCTCTTAGTATTGGGGCTTACTGATTGCTGGTGGGAAGATGGAAAATATTCAAGGAAAAGCAGGAAAAAACAAAGGCAGCTGAGCACTGAATCACAAAAGTCAAGATTCAATGACATTTTACACAATTACTAAAGTTAGCTGACTGGTCCAGAAAGCTGAAAATCAAACTTGTTAAAATCTCTGTTGATTCTTTTATAACTTGACTAGATTTTGGACTCTGCCAAGAGTAGAAATAATGCCTATTCTATGTTCTGAAACTTTATCTTACAGTGAGAGTACAGTGCTACACTCTTCAGGTTTAAAGAAAGAGCTTTATAATCTTCAATTTCAAAACAAAGAAAGGGTGAGAAGGGTGTGGAGACAGGAAGGAAAAGAGAACAAAGGATTAAAAGTTGCCTCACGATTCCAAATAATAGAGTTTTTGTTTAGAATAACCCAGATGAAACATGTTTTTTCAAACACTTACCACTTTTCTAGAAGCAATGAGAATGTTGAAAATAGGTCTAGTATGTGTGAGTATATTTAAGACATATCTTTTTCTTTTATTAACTAGTTTTTCTAGCTTAATTGTCTCTCATAACACGTTTTCTTCTGTTCAACCCCTTCTGCAGAAATGACTTGCTAATGGTGTGTCGACAATTGAATATGGAAGAGTCTGTGGCTGAGATCATGAACCAATTGGGAGCAGATGAAAATGGGAAGATTTCCTTTCAGGATTTCACAAGATGCCGCATGCAACTCATTCGAGAAATTAGAAAGGAGGAAGTAGATCTTTCTGCAAAGTCAGACAACTCCTGTACAAAGAAGCTGAGGGATAGAATTGCTTCCTGGCCCACGAGCAGTGACAACAGTTTGGGTAGGTATAACCAGGGGGCAGTTTAATGGCACTCCACTGGACTTGCCTATGATCTCTCTAAATGAGAGTAGCCTCCCCAGCCTGGGGGCCAGCTCATACTAAGGCTGCCTAGGGGAGTGCTCACTGTTTCCCCAAGTTCTGTCTGATGACTTTACACTTCCCAGCTTGCTGCTTTCTTTATTTTGCTTCTTCCATTTTCCAGGTATAATAACACATTCAAATAGCTATTACAGAGGAAGGGTAAATGAATAGGAAAGGTAGTAACTGCATCAGCAGCTCTCAGAAACTCTTTGAGGAAGAAGTTTCAAAGTTACATGAAGAGGCTTTTAAAATCAATTTTTTTTAATTTAATGTTAAAATTGCTTTCTATAAAGATAGTTTTTCTGTACATAAGTTTATATTTCTTACTGGTGCAAGATAAGCAGTTGGAAAAAAGTTCTTAATACTGTTGATAATTATTGAAATTGGGTGATAGAAACATGGGATTTCTTATACATATTTTTGAATACTCAGTTATATGCATTTTTAGTATGTTTGAGATTTTATGTAATAAAAAGTTAAAAAGGAAAGAAAGGAGACATCTTAAAGGGTAGCCTTAACAAAGAGACAGAAGAAAGTATCCGAATTTTCAGGGATATTCTTTCTTCCTTGAAAATGTGTCTTTGATCTCTTTTCCATTTGTTTCTGTGCTAGGTAGATCTAGTGGCAAGAAGTAAAACTTCATGTTAGTTTCCATCATTTATTTCATATATACATATACACACACACACACACAAGTGAGCATGGATAATTATGTAGTGCCATACACGCACATCTTTAAACAATGCTTCTGGCAGTGGAATCATTTGGGCCATTATTATTGAGTCATGGAAACAATAAAAATGTCCACATATACTGCATGCCTTACTACCTTCATAGATTCTACTCCAGCAGCAAATCAAATGTCTGGTAATGCATGTGCTCTCAGCATAATATGCAGAAACAATTAATATTGAGATAACTTTCTGAGCATTCAAGTAATATATGTTCATTATAGAAAAACAAGGGGGGAAAAGGCAACCAGCAGAAAATAAAAATCATTTTAATCCTACCACCTGGAAGTAATAACTATTGCCTACATTTGGTAAACTTGCTTCCAGAGTCTCTTCATCTCTCTCCTTCTCTCTCTCGTCATGTGTGAGATTTGTGTTTTGCAAATTTTTTGACATACCTTCTGTATATTTTGTATCTTGCAGTTTTTCTTTTCCATTTTCTTCATGCTTTTAAATGATATTTGAAAGCATGATTCATAAGTTTGCATGACACAAAATAGACACTCAGTAAATATTTATTAAATGATGAAATGAAGGAATTTTTTTCTGCTAAGCTATATTATCAGATTTTTCTGCCAAGAAAATGGATATCTTCTGTAAACACATAAGTGTACAGATACACATATTTGAAGGGTTAAGCAAATTGTGGAACACCCCAATAATTAAATACTATGTAGCATTAAAATAATGTATAAATGCTATAAATACTATATAGCATTAAAATAATATAGAAGAAAAATTTTTGTGGGAAAAAATGTGTTTGTCAAAATATATTTTAATGTGTAGTAGGTATTTATAAAAATCCTAAAAGGAACTGGTGTGAAAGAATTGCTGCACACATCTAATTGGTTTGACCAGCTTGTAAGACTGTCCTGACCAGAGAAAGGATTGAGAAACAATATCCTTTCATCCTTTTATGTAACCTTATACCCTTGGGAAAAGATGTTGTAACTGACAGGAGGTGATTCAAAAAACATGTCCTGAACTGAGGAAGTGCCAGCGGCTATGAAACCTCTACCACTTTCTCCTGGTAGTTAAGAGTTCAGAGTCAGATTATTTGAGTGAGAATCCTAGTTCTATCACTTACTGTCTACATGACACTAGACAAATCATTTAACCTTCCTGTGTCTCAGTTTCCTCAAGTGTAAAATGAGGGCAGTTACCGTTATTTGGGAGAATGAAGGAGCTAATGTATATGTAAATTCCACAAAGCAATACCCAGCACGTAATCACTAAATACTTGTTAAACTAATATTATTATTATTATTACCACCCAGTTTTAAGTCCTGGGGATTTGGAAAACAACCCCCTATTCAGCCTAATGTAAATCAAATACATCTAAAATTTGACACTAATTAGGCTGGGCACTATGGCTCACACCTGTAATCCCAGCACAGGTGGGAGGATCACTTGAGGTCAAGAGTTTGAAATTAGCCTGGGCAACATACAAAAAATTTAAAATTTAGCCAGGTGCAGTGGTGCATGCCTGTTGTCCTAGCTACTTGGGAGGCTGATATGGAAGGATTACTTGAGCCTAAGAGTTAGAGGTTGCAGTGAGCTATGATTGCACTCCAGCCTGGGTGACAGAGCAAGACCCTGTATCCAAAAAATAATGACAATAATTAAACAAAGATATATGTGTTTAATTAGTCCTTCATTATGTATATGTTCAATTAGTTCTTCTCTTTTCTAAGCCGTTAACCTCTCCTGACTCTATTTAAACTCCAGGATCTCCCTTCTGAGGGTGGAGGGAAGCCCTGTCTTGACTTTGTGTGTCAAGAAATAGCCCTTGGTATGGCCCTATTTCTCTGACTCTTCCTTCAGTGCACTCTTACTGTCTTTAGTCCTTACCACTCTGCTGGTCCTGCTTTTGCTGCCTCCATGTTGGCCAATCCAATGGTTCCTTTTCTGCCCACATCTAAATCTTTGGAATTTGACCCAGCTGACCACTCCTTCATGCTAGCTTCTCTTGGACTTCTTGACACCGTGTTCTCCTGTTTACCATTTTGGCTTTCCTTTCTCAGCCTATACTACTTCCAAATTTTGAGGTGCTTTGAGGTTACATTCTCTCCTTAGATGATTTCATGGATTTATTTATTTATTTATTTGAGTCAGGATCTCACTCTGTCACCCAGGCTGGAGTACAGTGTTGCAATCATGGCTCACTGCAGCCTCAACCTCCTGGGCTCAAGTGATCCTTCTGCCTCAGCCTCCCAAGTAGCTGGAACTACAGGCATTCATCACCAGGCCCAGCTAATATTTTGTATTTTCTTGTGGAGATGGGGTTTTGCTATGTTGTCCAGGATGGTCTCAACTCCTGTACTCAAGCCATCTTCCTGCCTCAGCCTCCCAAAGTGCTGAAATCACAGGCTAGCACCATCATGCCCATATATATATATAATTTTAAAATTTTTTGTATGTTGTCCAGGCTAGTTTCAAACTCTTGACCTCAAGTGGTCAGGTTAAATTGACAGGTATTCCTAGATATCATGCCTATATATATATATACATATATATATATATATATATGTATGTACACACACACACACACACACATATACACACATATGGGCAGGGCTATATATATATATATATATATATGGGCATGATGGTGCTAGCCTGTGATATATATATATATATATATATATATATATATATAGCCCTGCCCATTGCCATGATCTCAAAATAGGTTAAATTGGCACATATTCCTAGATATCTTATAAACTTCCAACATTAATGCAGTGAAAAAGAACTTTTGATTCTGTCCCCTACTTTTTCTCCCAGGGTTATTAGTCTCCCAGATAACCTTTACATAGGAAATATCTGCATTTAGTAAATATCTGCATCTAGGAAATATTCCTGTCCACCTGTTTACTAAGGCTGGCAAGTCCCACTGTTTCGCATGCCAAAGTATATCCAGGATCTGCCCACTTCCTTTGCTCTCCTGCCATCACTGTGTCCAAATCACCATCATATCTTGCCTTGCCTACTAAAATAATCTTTACTTGGCCTCCCTGACTCCTCCCTTGGCTCCTTACATTTCATTTTCTACCCTGTAGTCATAATTATCTTTTAAAGTTATAAAATCATGCTTAGTTCAATCCCATGTCTAAAACATTCTGTGGCTTTCGTATCATCTTAAAATAAGGTCCGAATTCCTACCACGGTGTGGCACATACCACCCACTCTGAGTTGATCTCCTCTTGCTCCTCTGACTTACCATGTTTGCCACAGTCACACTGGCCTTCCTGCTTTTCCTCTAATTTAGCAAACTCCCAGCCCATCTTCTTTCCAACATGCTCATTGCTCTTTCCTTTTATTCAGATTTAAGCTTAAATATTTCCTCTTCAGAGGAAATATTTCCAAGCTAAAGCACCCTCTCCTCCTATCCTTGTTCACATGCTCTTACTGCTTCATACCACTTACCATTATCTGACATGAGTTTGTACCTACTTGAATATGTACTTATCTGTCTTTCCCCATACAAATTGATTTCCACTGGATAACTAATGGCCTTGATTGTCATGTTTACTGCTATACTCTAGCACTTAGAACAGTGCCTGGCACATGGAAGATGCTCAGTGCATGTTTATTGAATGAATGAATGAGCAATGCACTGTCATGCTCCTTCAGGGACACAGGGAAGTGCAGTGCACAGTTCCAGATACTAAATAACTTATAATGTGATTATGGAGATGTAAGCACATGACAGATTAAGTGGCAATAAGCTTTAAAGCAAAGTTAACAAACTTTAAGCCATTAAAGTTCCAAGTTAACAAAACTTGGGAAGCCACTGAACGGTAAAGAAGATATGGTCTGCTGTATAAGGGGAGCTAAGAAATACTGTGAACAGGAGTTCCAGGAAAGATTACCTGTGACTGTAGGATGGAGAGAAGTAGAAAAAATGTGCTGTGAGAAAAGCTGAATAAAAACTTAGGTTTAATAGTTAAGCGTCAGAAGAACTTTATTGTCAGCCTTGACATTTCACAGCACATCCACAGCAGGGAGTTGAGTTGGCAGAAAAAGACTTGTCAAAACATTACATACTCAACTTGGAAGACGAATTTCGATTGATGCATTTTTCCCAAGTGTTTTCTGCAGAATACTGATTTAAAGCAATGGTTATAAATATTAAATGAAGAAAGAACTTCTTTGTCAAGTACATGTGAAAACTTTGGGTTAAACGAG